TTAAATAACGTCTTTGGAGAGGAAGGTTCTGGATGGTTCAGTTGATTTCCTAATCTATGCAGAGTATATATATGAGATTGTATTAAAAAAAAGTGAAAGATTGACATATTTTGTAATCCTATAACATTTCAATAATCTTTCATTTGTTTTCAAAAACATCTCTAGGAGTAAAATCTACGTACATACAAGAGCCTACTTTTTGTTGAGTTTCATTGGGTTTGTTGTTGTTTGAAAAACACTTTAGGGAGTATTTATTAAGATATTATCCAAGTCCACCAAAACACTTGCGCTGAATTTGGCAACAGAACAAAGCTAAGAGCAGTATTATCCATTGATGATTAACCTAGGCCTTGTTTGAGTCTTTGAGAACAACGTTTTCAATTAGCATTAGCGTTTTGGATAAAATTTTAATGTTGTATATTAATTCTAAAAACACCAACACTAAAGGCTACTGTCAGATATAGTCCATGCCAAACGGGACCCTGAGCTCATACGTTTTCTTGATTCTTCTGCGTTCAGGTACATGTTTGGAACGACGGGGAATAGTGCAGGCTTGCTGATGCTTTTAGACAAGGGACCTCGTGTGGGTCAGTGGAGATGTATATTCAGCACACAGGTTTGAAATTTGTTTCCATATACTCATTCATTATGACGGACCGAATCTTCAGGCTATCGAAAATGTAAATGCAGCTCTGAGGGCCGGAGTTTTAGTCAGATTTCTTCCTCATTTTCAGACATTTCATTATTTCTTTTTGTGTCTTTCACTTCATTAATGTGTTAGAATGAGATGGGTTTTTTGTTGATCATGTTGGGTGAAATGCTAGATTCACTAATGTCAGGTGCAACCTTTGTACTTTTGTGGCTCTGCTAATTTTCAATTAGTGAGTGTCATTGTTGTTATACACAGTATTTTGAAGAATTTGACACACACACCAAAACAAAAAAAAAAAGTAGTATGTAGATTTTGTACAGAGCACAAAATTCTGAAGGTATCATTTTTGTCTTCCCAAATGGTGCCAAAATGTGAATATTACAACACATTACATTAAGTAGAGCGTCTTTTTATATTTATTTTTAAATAATGTCTGATTCGTTGGAATGGATCACTTGCCCCTCTATCTTTTATTTTTGGTGTTCCTTTAAAAAACATAGGTGAAGAGTTATTCTAAGATAACCCATACACATATGAATGCCACACAATTTTTTTTTTGAAACCAAAAGAAATACGGAGCACTATAATTAAAAAGAAATTACCATAAAAAAGGATAAAAAGTATTAAAACAGTTCCATATTTTATCCCAAAATAGGAGTTCGTACTGTTATAATGTTACATTATATATGGACATTTCACAATACTTTTTGGTACTATATATTGGCATAATTGAGATTGTATATGCATTTTAATTTTTATTTTAAGAATAAAAGTACGAAACTCCTATTTGATATATTTTCTACTCCGTATGTTTTAATCCTACTTTAGTCTTTTTTCTTAAACTAAATCGAGTTAGAAATAAAGTACATAAATGGGTGAATCAACTCACTCCCTATGAAAAACCATGCCCAATTTCATGAGAAATTCATCCGTGAATTTAAGATTTATGCTTAATTTATAGACCTTATTATATCTGTAACACAAAAAAGGTGAACTTTTTGCAAAAAAAATATATCCACACGTAAAGCACACGAAAAAGGTAAAAATATTCACATGAATCTTGTGATTATGCAAGCATTACTCTAATTTCATTAAGAAAGCAAAAAAAACAAAACGAAGACTCGGATCTCTACCACAAATGAGCCTGTGAATTTTATAATTATCAATAATAAAACTAATTAGTGTAATTACTGCTACTGGTAGATCCAAATACTCACAATCTTTTCCCTTTGTTTTTTATTTAAAACCAATTTTATCTCTACTAATTCTTATTTTACTGCTATTAGTGTAATTACTGCTATTGGTAGATCCAAATACTCACAATCTTTTCCCTTTTTTTATTTAAAACCAATTTTATCTCTATTAATTCTTATTTTACGTATCACATCATACCTTTTTGCTAATAATCTATACATCACATCAATGATATTTTTGAAAAGTCAACACAAAAATATCTTCTCTCTTAAATTTTCAAAACTTCAATAAGAGAAGAACTTTAAGAGACGGAGGGAGTAATACTCTTCGTCCGGATTTAATCTTTTTATTTGGTTTTTCATGGTCTCCAAATTAGAACAATCTACTTCATTTCATGGTCTTCAAATTAGAACGATATACTTCATAGGGAGTATTGTATAAAAAATATTACTATTTCAAAAGTATGTTTCAGAAAATCTATTAATATTATTACATTTATACTAAAACATACTCTCTGCGTCTCCATTTTGATTACAATTTTATTTACTCTCTCTTCTTGATAACTTTTGTTTGTTTGTGGGTTATCAGATAAAATAAAATATTGTTGTCACCTTTCATTTTGTATATCTTTTTATCTAATTTTTATTTCTTATTGATGTAATTATTTATAAATAAAATAATTTCAAAAATCGTAAGATTTAACGTCGTAATTCTTATTTTGTAATCAAAATAGGGATGGATGGAGTAATATATTTTTTGTATATCAAAATCAAATTTTATAAATTTTGATCATAAAAAATCAAATGAAAAGACTAAATGGAGTATGCTACATTAGGCTGTTTGCGTGGGAAATGGAATTAGGGTTTTCGGACCGGATCTCTATCGACTATCGCCGAAGTGAAAATCTGCCTTTCTTCTTTTTCTCTAAGCCGAGAATTATAGATTAGAGCAGCACTCTTCCTTATTCATTTCTTCCTGAATCAATGCTGTCTTCCAAGAACTTACTATTCAGGAGCCATATCAAGAAGAGAAAGAATTCCCGCAAGAAGAAACCCGCATTAAAAAAGCCAGCTTTGTTTTCCAGAAAACCAGATTCTTGGGAAGAAGAGGAGCAATTCACGGACGAGGAAGAAGACGGTTTTCGATTGAAAGGTTCAGCGCCATCGCACTCTCATGGAGTTCAGCCTCTGGGCAACCTCTACTTCAGTTCATCATCACATAATTCAAGAAACTCTGGCCTGGGAAATCTCCAGATCCTTACCGATGAGCTTGTTCTTGACATTCTTGGCCTTCTGGAAGGTACCCATTTGGGTGTTTTGTCCACTGTGAGTAAAGCTTTCTATGTTTTCTGTAACCATGAGCCCCTTTGGAGGAATCTTGTTTTGGAGGGCTGTAAAGATGGATTCTTTTATAACAAGTCTTGGAAGTGTACTTACATTAGTGGCTTTAACCCTTCCTTTAGTTTTCTCAGTAGTGGGTTGAGAGTTAGAGACTTTTATTCAGACTATTTGTTCCAGAGCTGGCTTTGTGCGAATCTCGAAATGAAACCTGAATGGATTGAGAGGGATACTATTCTTAGAAGAAAAAACATTTCTGTTGACGAATTTGTTTCGAATTTTGAAGAGCCCAACAGGCCAGTATTGTTGGAAGGGTGTTTGGATAAATGGGTTGCGTTCAAAAAATGGGATAGGGATTGTTTGGTTGAAATGTGTGGTGATGTGAAGTTTGCGGTTGGGCCCGTGGAAATGAAGCTCGAGGACTACTTTAGGTACTCAGATCAAGCAAAGGAAGAAAGACCGTTGTATCTATTTGACCCAAAGTTTGCAGAGAAGGTTCCACAGTTGGGATTGGATTATGATGTACCTGAATATTTTAATGAGGACTTGTTTAGTGTTTTGGGGAAGGAAAGGCCAGATTACAGATGGATCATAATCGGTCCAGCTGGATCCGGATCCTCATTCCACATAGATCCCAATTCAACATCTGCTTGGAATGCCGTGATCAAGGGTTCCAAGAAATGGGTGTTGTTTCCTCCTGACGTGGTCCCACCAGGGGTGCATCCTAGCTCAGATGGAGCAGAAGTTGCGAGCCCGGTTTCCATCATGGAGTGGTTCATGAACTTTTATGCAGAAACAAGAAATTGGAAGAAGAAGCCGATCGAGTGTGTTTGTAATGCAGGAGAAGTGATATTCGTGCCTAACGGATGGTGGCATTTGGTCATCAATCTGGAGGATTCGATAGCTATTACACAGAATTTCGTAAGCAGGTATTCATATTTCCAGTTTCATACCCATAAGTTTCTTATTTATATGCTTGGAGTGGCTTTTAAAAGCAGCTTTGTGAAATACCTTAGTTTATTTATTTCTTTTTGTGGCTTTAGCATTTATGGAGTACACTAAATTATTTTGAGTAACAATTGGGTTGATTAAAAAAATGCTCAAATTTCCATTTCCTCCTTGATTTTCAACGAAAGGGTTTATGATGAATAGTCTAAAATACCCTAAACTTAGGCTATTATGAGCATTGCTGACATGAATCAGTAACAAATTCATTCGAATGATTTATCCGACATTTTTTAAATCCGTTCCTCTCATTCTTTTTTCAGTAGGAATTTGTTGAACGTGTTGGATTTTCTGAGAAGGCCAAACGCGCGCAGTCTGGTGTCGGGTACGGACGACCGGGTGAATTTGCACGACAAGTTCAAGAATGCCATTGAAGCGTCTCGGCCCGGACTCATCCAAGGTTTAGCAGAGGAGAAAATGGCAAAAGAGTGCAGTAAGAAAAAGAAGCCTTCATTCTGGGAATCAGTGGCAGATTCAAAGGCAGGTGCTTTCAAGTTCTCCTTTTCTCAGCCCTGAGAGCATTCACATGGGTTTTCCCTGCTCATGACTTTGGCATAGATAAAATGTTTTGTTTTCTGGCAATTCTGCAGAGTGCAAAAGGGAATTTTTTTCCTTCAACATTTGTTATTTATAAATGTAAAATGAACTTTTGAATTCCCTTTTTTGTTTTCTGTGTTGGGAGGAGTTTTTAAAATCTCATATGGAATCACTTTCTTCAATAACATTAATTCATTACATGAAGGCCATGGAGTTCCTATATCAAACATTCATTCAGATGATTATATAGACATTTGCAAGTTATAGAACACTAGAAAGAATAAGATGAAATCTTGACTATAAAATGGCAGCAAAAATGTGCTTTTTTTAAACATATTCAGAGCGTAAATATAATAGTAAAATTTGTTTCATTTAGGACTCAAACATATGTGTTTTCCCTAAATAGGACTTGTATCTTTTTTTTCCTTATATAAGAGTTATTTTTGGGCGTGCATCCATTTTTACCCTTCTGGGGCCGAAAATGCTTGGATTTTTTATTTTCTTTTTTTTAATTTCCTTGGCATATTTAGAGGATAATTATTAATAATTTCCCCCACTTTCTAGCCATTATCCCTTCATTTACGCTCTAGTTCTTTAACTTCCCATGGATTTAGGTTTCCGTCTCCTACATTTATTCCGGCCACCACGAAATTCTTCCGCCCATCCCAGTAGCGCAAGGCGATGTTTTCTTCATTGCTGGCTTCTGTATCTAGCATTGTCCCAGTTTTCTCCACACCGACTGCCATCCATTCACTGCTCCAATTCGACGGAAAATGGGACATTCATGGCGTCTTCTCCTACACATACGCATATGAAATTCAGATTCCGCATCAGGCATCATTCACTGACTTGCTGCAGGTGATTCGTAATACGGTCCCATCATCATATGAGAATTCTGTTTTTAAGATTTCGCACATCTCTGATTCATGTTCAAGTCATGTTGTCATTGACGATGATACCAGCCTTTACGCATACATTCGGTTGAAGAGCATTCACTATGGTGTATGCGAATTCCCTTTGTGCGTTGAATTAACTAATTTTTCAGAAACTATCGTTTCTGAAGGAGGTTTAGTTCTTTCGGAGTTACAGCAGCATCTTCTTTGTAATAATTCCGTCTCCAATTCAAGCGGCTGCGAAGATACAGAATCAGATGGGTCTCTCTCTGATTTTGAAGCAAACCGAACCTTGTGCATTTGGGACGAAGGCGATATACCAGCACAAATGCGATTTCCCCCCGGTTTTGTACTCGACACATTTCGTGGATATGAAATGCCTGAGAATAATGTCCAAACTAACGAGCTTGATTGCAGTAACTACCTTCAATCCAACCTGTCTAGTGATGTAATGTCTGAGCAGGACATTGCCACAATGAAGGAGATGCACGTTACATCTCGGTTCGACCCAACTAGAATTGTTGTTGATGCCATTTATGCCAGCAAAAAGGATCTTGATATCCATTTCAAGATGTTAGCAATTTCTAACCAGTTCCAGTACCGGATCCAAACCTCCAAAAATTATCGCGCATTATAATCGGTCATTCACATGTATGTAAATTACATATTACAGCCAATAACCCATTCCAGTTACCCTGCATTTTTTAAATACGTTCCAAATCGGCCATCTTTAATCAAGCTAAAATACGTTTAATGCACCACACATGTATTACAGGTCATTAAAACTATGGAAGTCAATATTTTTTACCCTACGTTGTTACATTCATTTTCCTTTGAAGGCATTAAGCCTGCATTCCTCTCTATGTGCATTGGTCATTAATTAATACAGCAGGCACAGCCATACGCCCTCATCTTTGGTCATTAACCTAAAACTTAAGATGGGAGAGCTTAAGTCCACTGTCCCTACTTCAGTCCCTTAATTTTGGTCATTAGCCATGCTTTTCCCAACCTAAAACGTATGGCCATTATTATTCTAGAAGCCGTCTAGTACCTACATTTTACCTCATTTTAACATCTTATTTGTAACACCAGTTTTGTTCAGACAAAACATCCACTTCCACTTACTAGTTCATTAACACAACCATCCATTTCTATGCAACACGGACATTAACGTAACACTCAAACTCACCTAATTCCAAACATTAAAATAACTATTTAGCCCTACCATCATGCTATCTTTGGGCTCTACAAAACACTACCAAGTCATTATAACCACTTCTTAAAACCTTTTAAACCTTACTACCAAATTCCATTGAATAATCCCCACAACCACAAACACTACAGTCAGGCTAAAATCAGTGCAATTTGACATCCAAAAGTCTCGAAAATATGATCTATAAGAAGTCTTTAAAAGACAGGATTTAATTACTAATTTTTGAAATAGTCTAATGGCCACCCGTTGTAAACTTTATCCGTATAAAGTCATTAACTACAGCACTAGGAAGTCTTTAAAATTCAGTCAAAACCTAATTTCTTGATCTTCCTTCACAGGAAGCTAACGTACAAAATTAACAAATAGCAGTACAAGTCATTGGATCACCACAGACATTTTCACAAACAACACATATGCACGGCTGTATACTTCCACCTCTGTTCAGACATTAGAACTGAAGAAAACACTATGAATTAGACATTAAGTACTTACTCATCTTCGAATCTTGTCCACGAAATCATCATCCTCATCTACCGGGACTCTGGTTGCCATTTTCTTCCCTGCACTCCTCCTCGTCGTCATGCCGTCTTCTATTTTACTTCAATTTGATAATGCTGTAACTGCTATTGACGAAATCCTAGATCTATTCTACAATACGCAGAGAAATCCGCATGCAGTACAAGTAGAGACACACATGGAAACTCCCGCTGTGCAGCGTATCACCTACGGCCTCTATTGCGCCTTCACTCTCGCGCTTCTCCTTAAAACAACGCATATTTTCCCCCTTTTTTTTTTCATTTGGAGGACAAACAAGTCTTTTTACTCTCTGCCACGTGGACGGACGGAAATAGGACTCCTCCTCTTTTGGGAAACCGGCCCTTCTTTTGCTCCTATTTGAGTAATTTACGGAGTAATATTTTTCAATATATTTGCTGCTTTCAATCTACACCATTCATAAATGGAGTGAATTTAGCCAAATGTAAGTAGATTTAGCAATAATCACAAAATTTAAACTTTGAAATTATGTTTTAAAAAACATAACAATATGTTCTTGTCAAAGATTTGTGTTTGTGTTTTAAAAATGTAACAATTCAAAACTTTTTATGTCTTTTTAGGATAAAATAGTAATGTATTATTAGAAAAAATAATTTGTAATGCCATTTCGGGGAAAAAATGGAGAGACAAGAAAAAATTCTATCGACTATATTTGTTTGGTGGTGTGGTTGAATGTCCTAAAAAAATTGTTTAAAGAGGACGAGAGACAAGAAAAAACTATCTTAAGAAAAATAAAAAAAATTAAATTGTGTATTAGAAAGTGATACAAATAAAAGAAAAAAAATAGTGACCACAAAATTATTTCCAAAAATAGAAATATAAAACTTTTTTTCAGACGAACATTAAAGAAAATGTATTACTCGGGTACTTTTTTATGAGGACCCCTTTGAGAATTTTGGACCAACCTTTCTCTCGGTGGGCGTCAAGGCAAGGAATGCCAAAGGTGTAAGACCCAAGTTCGATTCCTAGCAACTACGCTGAGAGGCAATTATGCTAAGCATAAGGCTTCTGCAAGTACCAATCTGCGATCGAAGTCTAATTTACCTTTTTTTAGTGACCGTTCGGCAGAGTCTGAGGACACTCATCTTTTTCTGGATCAATCTTTGTGAGTGAGAGTGGCCCATCCAATTTGAATGGAGTGCATCATCATCATGTAGTTAGTTGATGTAATCTTAATCCAAAGAAGCAAAAAAAAAAAATGTCACACACATTGACGGTGGTGTCCGACCCGGCCCGGCCCGGCCAGCCAATCCTCCACATTAATGGGCGGCCAATGGGTTACCAGAATAAGTCCATCCAATCTCCCAGCTAAGCTAAAGCCGAGAACACTGTGCACATGGACACGTTGCGTCGGGTTGGGCAACCATCCAAACCTGTCTTCCCTCGCACCCAGGCAATCTCTCTCTTCCCCTTTGGACTCCATCCCATTTTTAATTGACTTCCTAAAAAGTTAAAGTTGACTCTAGGGCTTTGTCCTACAAAAAAGAATATGGGGTTAGTTACATGCATGTTATTGCCAATTTTTGAGCCTTTAGTTTTATTGAAAAAGATTATATTGCCACTATTTATTTTTTTGAGTGTATATACAAGAATTTGAATAGACGTTGTCAGACGAGTTGAGCAGAGTCCGAAATCCTTATATAGAGATTCCGACACACGGATACACGTCAATATTGACCCAAAAAACCGAAAGGAAAACTCGCACGAACACTTGCGGCCTTTACCAAAAGTTCAGTGTTCTCTCTCTGATCTGTTGCATGAATGATCACTTCCTTTACACGAACGTTCATGTCAGGTCGCCAAAATCTTCAACTCTATAAAAGGAGTCGTTGGGTATGGTTGAAAAATGATTCAAAAGGCTTGTTTTTTATTAACGTCGTATCCGATTAAAGTCTTTTTGTATACCATGAAATAAATTTGATCTGAAACCGATAAAAGTTGTAATTCTCGTTCTTCATTTTATTAATTCTTCAATGCCGCTTCCTAGCGTTCATCCTCCTAAATTTCTAACATGTAACAAATTTTGAACAACTAGTATTCCTACCCGTGCAACGCACGGGTTCGGACGATTTTTTTGTTACTCAGATAATTTTTTTATCTTATTTGTTGATATACCATAAATTTTTGGTAATTGAAATGCATGCATATATATATTGAAAAGAGCATATAAATATATAAATAAAATCTATATCTTTTGAAATACTTCAGGGTAAACTACTTTTTTGGTGAAATTGCAAGGGTTACTGCTATCGTCTAAAACTAACACTTTCAATCCTGCCTTTGTTTTCACTCGTGAAACTGCAACATAAAGTTGACCGTGAGTGAATACTGACTTGCTCAAAAATAATCCAACAAATGACAATGTTTGCCCTTGACTCTTATTGATAGTCATGGCAAAACATAAAGATATTGGAAATTGTCTTCTTTGAAACTTAAACGGTAATCCAGGATCAGATGGTACCAAATT